TCCTGCTAGCTATGGTTCCAGGCTGCTGAGGGATGCAGTCTTCACCAGGTCCCAAAATCTTTCCCCATTGTTTCATCCCATGGCCTGGTGAACATGCTCCCTCCGGAGGGCTCTGCTTCGTTGCCGTCCCTGCGAGAACACAAGCTGGGGTTAGTGCCAGCCTGGTGTGGGCATCTTGGTGCCATGGGTGATCAGCCCAGCTTCTGCAGCTGGGTGACAACACCTCCTTGCTGTGACATCTCCCGTCAGACCTCCAGTCGAGGATGTGCTGTAGCCTGGGACCTTGGCTGGAGGCATGGGGTTGGGATTATGGGCGTCCCTCCAACCTTCTCCAGGCCACCAAGCAACCCCATGGACCCTCGCTGCTCCACCACCAGGCTGCAGGCTCCCCCCCTACTCTGATTGTGTAAAGCCCACTCTGTTTTGCTTTATTCGTGCTCCCGTTTTGATGCGCTCATTGAATCGAGTTTGGAGGAAGAACTGAACCGTGTGCGTGGCGGCATGTTGGTTATGCCGGATTTGCTGTTTGGAGTTTCTTTTTTTTTTTCAGGGGATGCTTGTCCCTTTGCGGGGGACGCGCCCCAGCTAATTGGGTGTTGACAGTAGCATCACTGCGTGGCTACTCGCGCTGGGGGAGTTGTCCCTTTGTCATCATGACTGAAAGGCAGGCAGCCGGGGTTCGGGGGGACGGGGCCTGGACCCCTAGATGTGGGGGCTCCAACCCTGGCAGTCTCTCCCCTCCCCTCTCTCCTGGTGCCCCTTCTGCACCTCGTGGTGCTCTGGAGCCACTAACAGAAGGAGTCCAGAGCAGATGGGTTCCCTCCCCACCTCCCCAAATCCAAATTGTTTTTCATTTTTAGTTCATCTCCATTCTTTCAGGTTTTACCATCTCCTAAGAGCTACAGTGCTGCCTTCCCTCTTCCCATCCAAGGAGCCAGGGCCCTTCCCCTGCCTGGGAGCTCCTACAGGAAGAGACTGCTGGGGTCAGGGGTCACTTGAGAGCTGTCCCCGACCCTGAAGAAAGGTATCCCAGAAAGGATTATGAAGTAGTTTATTTCCTCAATACAGGCCTCTAAGTATTCTGTTTAGGTACATTATTCTTGTTCCAGTGTCCTGGATTTCTCTGGGTGAAAAAAAAAAAAAACCACAAAAAAACAAATATTTAAACGTTTTTTAACAAAATAAAAATTTATTTTTATATTTAAGCTAAATTGCCTTCGAATTCCTTCAAGCTTGGTTCAGTGAGGTTGCCAGACCCGCAGCGCTGTTGGTAGTGTTTAGCTGTGCCGTTGCAGCCTGGTGAGGAGCCGACCTCTGCCCGCAGGAACTAGCTGTGCCAGGGAAAGGCAGCTACATCCCACAGGCTCTGCCGCTGCGTGCTCCTCCCGGCCTGTAACAACATCTCCTTCATTTTAAAATGTGATGTATGTGATGTGACTAAACCTTTTTTTTTTTTTCCCCCCCTTCCAATTCTTTCTCTGAGGATGAGGAGCGGGAGCTCTTGCCTGTTATGGTGATGAGTGATTTTCTTGTCTGCGAGGAACAAGGTGTCTCTCCCAGCAGGTGGAACGAGGGCAGGTGACTGGGCTGTGTATGGCACAGAGGGGACATGGTCCCTTAGCGAGGGGGGGCTGCTGGTGCTGGCAGGGAGTTTGTAGCCTGCCCCTATGGGTGCAGCAGGCTGTTAGAGCAGGGCAGAGCTGTGCAGGAGGAACCAGCCTGGGCAAATGTGTCCTTGGGGTTTGGAAAAGTGGCTGAAAAGGAGTCAGCGGTCACTGGCGATTCCTCCCTCTGCCCACTCCCCAGCCCTCGGCACAGGGCAGGATGGTGGCTCCAGGGGCTGGGGTTGGACCGGGCCAGCTCCAGCAAGACTCACGGAGATGAGGACAAGCAGGGTACAAGGTGAGGGCACCCTGGGGAGTGTTGGTCCCCCAAGTGGCGGCTCCATTTAGGTCCCAAGTGCCCATCCCTGCAAGGAGCCAGACTGTGTCCCTTCCCTGCCGCACAGACCCTGCTGGGAGAGACCCTTGTGCCTGGGCTGCCGTACGTGGCTGCAGGGAGGCTGGGTTTTAACTCTAACGGAAGACTTGGATCATTCCTGGTGTGGCTGATGAGGATTTTAGTGTGAACGTGCAATTATTTTTCTTCCTTGCTTACGTCCCTGGTTTAAAATAAAAAAGACTGTGTTCACATCTGCTTTGTCTGTGTTTGATTCCTGGGCCCAAGCAGGGCCAGGCATTGCTGGTGCAGTACAGGGTGCTGCTTTCCAGCATCCTCGGGCTTGTGTGTCCTTGCTCCCCCTGTTCAAAGGCATGTGCATGGACAGGAGTAGTATTATGATGATTATTATTAATTATTTCACTTTTTTCTCCCCCACTATGAGCAGTGGCAATTTCAGGGCAAGACTGCACAAACATGCTGGAAAAGACAGTGAAACAAGAGAAACTTTCATCTGTTTCATCACTAGAGTCAAAGGCTTTTCTGAAACCCCACATCAGCCTGGGGGAAGGAATTTTAGGGGGGAGGGGGCGAATGGTAAAACACAACCCTTGATTTGGCTGGAACACTCCAGGCCTGCAGAAATTGTGGTTGTGCCAAACGCTGGTGCTGTTTGCAGACTTCCCAAGGGTGCTGCAGCCCAGGTCTGGCTTTGGGGACAAGCCTTCTGCCAGGGGCTGGCTGCGAGGGCTGGGCCTGGGTGAGCGGCTCCCCCTCCCTGGAAACAGGGTGTGACAGAATTCCACCACAGCTAGAGCTGGCACAAAGCTTTACTTGTGTTCAGAGGCCCCACTGTTTTTCAGGCAGCAGTGGCAGTGGAGGCACTGGGCAGTCCTAAAAAATGTTATTTCACTACTTCACCCACTGCTTTTTCCTCTTCTTGGGAGCTGCTCCTGGCTCCGTTCCCTCTCTGTGCTGTGCGTTCTCCTCAGCTGCCACAGGCAGGGAGCTGTGGACAAGAGCAAACAGCCTGAGGCCCCACTCACCACAGTACCACGGCTCCTCCTGCGCACGCTACAGCCAGACCCCTCCACCTTCCCTCCTCACACCAGGAAGGCAACACCCTGCCCCTGGGTGCCCCGGCAGCCCTGAGCCTGGCCATGGTCGCCCCGCCCCTGCAAAGCTGCTGGAGGCAGACAGAGCCCCCCCAGGCCCTCCTCTCACCTAGGGACAGCATCTCCTTCCCTGCACCGCTCCAGGACAGCCACAAAGAAGCCGTGGGTGAGTGTGTCTGCAGGAGAGGCGCGGATGCAGCACTGTGCCCCAGGGAAGGCAGCGAGTCCTCGGCAGGGCCAGGAAGGGAAGGCGTTCACCAGCCTGTGGTGTGGGACAAGGGTCAGTGCCAAGCCCTGCAGCACCCTGCACTGTGTCCCCCCAAGACGGATGCACCTGAAGGTCGAGCCCCACTCCTGCAGCACAGAGTGCACCACATCCTCGTTCTCTTCCCGGTACAGTGAGCAGGTGGAGTAGACCAGGCGCCAGAGAGCTGGGAAGCTCAAGGCATGGCTCAAGACCTTGCGCTGGAAGCCAGCCAACGCCTGCAGCCGCTCGGCACTCGGGGCAGCTTCCTCCCTCGGCATCCGGTTCACCATCCCTGTGGGGAGAGCAGCCGTCGCCCAGGGGTCCAGGCACCCAGAGTCCGGCTCTAGGTGGGGCGGCCAGAGCCCTGCGCGTTACCTGAGCCACTGCAGGACGGGTCGAGGAGGATATAGGTCACCTTGCTGTACTTGGGATCTCCAGGATCCACGGCCAGGAAGTCCTGCTGGGCCAGCTGGAAAGCAGTGACCCCAGCCCGCATCAGCATGGTGTTCATGGTGGCCAGGCGCTTGGTGTCCACATCAAAGGCAAAGATCTGGCTGAAGGCAGAGACCGGTACCCAAGAGAAGCATGAACATCCCGCCTGGCCTTAGGAACCGTGCTGACGGCAGCAAATTGTCCCAGCAGCCCCAGACATCAGCTCTCTGCTGGGCGGGCAGAGCTCAGGAACTGCTCCCCCACCCAGGCAGGAGTACTGAGCAGGGCCAGTGTCGGCCAGACAGCAGGGTCAGGGGCTGGGGAAATG